TGCTGCTGCTGCTGCTGCTGCTGCTGCAGCAACACGTATGACTGTGTGTATGTGCTGCATTTACAACAACACTCGGTGCAGCAGCAGAAGCAGGTGCAGTTGCAGCAGCCCAAGACGCAGCCCTAAGCAGCCCTTCTCCTCCAGCAGCAGCAGCAGCAGCAGCTTCATCTGCCTCTGTCTGCAGCACTTCATGTGCAGACAGCAGCGACTGAATTGAAGGCAGTGAGACAGAAGAAGTGTCTCCTATAGGCCCGCACTCACTTAAATCGCTTGGGGACACAGCAGCACATAAATAGGGTGCCGGAGGAGGAGACAGTGCACCTATAGCAACATCTAATGCACTTCTGCTGCAGCACCACTCACTACTGCTACTGCTGCTGCTGTTGCTGCTGCTGCTGCTGCTGGCAGAAGCAGCAGCAGAAGATGTGGGGTTGCTGCGATTCGTACAAGAGGCGGCGCTGCGAGGGGTGCTGCTGCTGCCGCGGCTTCGTGGCTGCTGCAGCAGCAACTGCTGCTGCAGCCGCTGCTGCAGCTCCTTCTGCTGCATGTACTCCGGGGGAGGCACGCATGAAGGAGTGCATGCGCGCACACAAGAAGAAGGTTGCTGCTGTTGCTGCTGCTGCTGCTGTTGCTGCTGTTGCTGCTGCTGAAAGGGTGGTGCTGCTGCTGCTGCTGCTGCGGGCGGCTGCAGCAACGGTGTGCGAATTCGCTGACGGCTCCTCCCACCTGCTTCCAGCAAAGCACGCCGAAGCGATTGCTGCTGCTGCTGCTGCTGCTGTCTCTGCTGCTGCTGCGGCTGCTGTCGCTGCTGCTGCTGCAGCTGCAGCTCTCTATATATGGCAGCAGCAGAGCCCGTCAAATGCTTCCCTCCAGTACCTACTGAAGACGGCGCTGCACTGCTGCTGCTGCTGCTGCCGCTGCTGCTGCTCCCGCTATGGGCTGGCTGTTGCTGCTGCTGCTGCTGCTGCTGCTGCTGCTGCGACCGGCCGCACGTGCTGTCTTGCGGCTTGCTGCTTCGGTCTCCCTCAGCTGCCCTCCCCGTACCATGGTGGTGGTGGTGCTGCTGCTGCTGCAGTTTCTGCTGGTGTTGTAGCTGTTGCTGCTGCAGCTCCTGCTGCTGTTGCAGCACCTGTTGTTGTTGTTGTTGTTGTTGTTGTTGTTGTTGTTGTTTTTCCCGCTGCTGTATGTGTTGCTGCATTTGTTGCTGCTGCAGCTTCTGCTGCTGCTGCTGCTGCTGCTGCTGCTGCGGTGTGTATAGGGGCGTCGTATATGCATCTGGGGTGTATGTTGATGTAACGCCGAACAGCTTCTCATTAGCAGCAAACATTTCCGCTGGAGACCAACGAAAACCCTCAACTGCACCAAATGTGCTGCGGTTGCGGGCCTTCGCAGCAGCACGCAACTGCTGCTGCTGCTGCTGTTGCTGCTGCTGCTGCTGATGATGATGATGATGCTGCTGATGGAGGTGCGCAGCAGGACGGTAGGACGGGCTGTGAGGTCGCTGCCATATTCCCTCATTTGCTGCTGCTGCTGTTGCTGCTGCTGCTGGTCCGCGGCCTGTAGCAGCAGCAGCAGCAGCAGCAGCAGCAGCAGATCGCCTACCTGCAGTAGCAGACGCTGCTGATTGGGTTGTGCTATGATACACGTGGCAGGTCTCCAAGCTGCTGCTGCTGCTGCTGCTGCTGCTACTGCTGGTGAAGCTGAAGCTGTTGCGTCGAGCAGACGCTACAACGGTGTTGCAGCTAACGTACTGCTGCTGCTGCTGCTGCTGCTGCTGCTGCTGCTGTTCAGCATAATCTGCTGCTGCTGTTTCATCAGCAGCAGCAGACGGGTCCTCTTCTACAAACTGCAGCAAGCGGAGTGTCTCCGCATCCAGCGGTGGCAGCGCGTACTGACAACCCCTTGAAATGTTGCTGCTGCTGCTGCTGCTGCTGCTGCTGCTGCTGCTGTTGTTGTTGTTGTTGCTGCTGCTGCTGGATGTCTTGGCGCCTATAGCACGCAGCAAAGCCTCAGCCTGCTGTTTGCGTTTACCGCTGCTCTCACCATCTGCTGCTGCTGCTGCTGCTGCTTCTCCTTCCCCTCCAGCAGCAGCAGCAGCAGAAGCTTTAAGGATCTCTACCCACTTTAAAAGGTTCGGTACGAACTGCTGCACCTGATAGAACCTCGCCTGCTGCTGCTGTTGCTGCTGCTGCTGCTGTTGCTGCTGCTGCTGCTGCTGCTGCAGGGTGCGCCTACCACTAGAACTACTACTACTACTGCTACTACTACTACTACTACTACTACTACTACTGCTGCTGCTGCTGCTGCTGCTGCTGCTGCTGCTGTAGCCCGGCAGCTGAGAGAGAGGGAACCAGCGAATCCGTCCGACTTCTTTTCGCTTTTGAGGTTGGAGCTGCTGCTGCTCGCAGACCCCTGGGACAATAAAGAGCTTGAGAGATTGACCTTTAACTGAAGAAGCAATAAACATTTGCTGCTGCAGCAAAGCATATATCATCAAACC